CGGGTTGTCTGGAAAGCGAGTTCGATAGTTGACTATTTGAGTTTGGGATTGAGAAAGGCAAAAGTTGTGGGCCTTAATGCCTGCAGAGTCACTGACACTAGAGCCAAGCCATTCATGTGATGAACATTAAAGTCACCGACAACAACAATATTGGCTGATGGATAAAGAATGAGGGCTTGGTCAATATAATCAGAAATAACATCAAGAAGAGTGCAGTCTTGATATGAAGGAGAGCGATATAGAACAAAGAGAAAGGTGATAGAGCGAAGTGGTGCTAAAGGAAAGCACATGAAAGAGTAGTCTGTGGATTCAAACCTAGTTTCCTGACAAATTGGTGAATTCTTATGAATATAAATGCCCAGGCCAAGCATGTGAGTATTGGAGTCTTTACAAATTAAAGGAAGATAATCATCAACACTAAGATCTCAAGATGAGACAGAAGAACTCAAATTAGTCTCACAAAGAGCAAGTAGGTCTGGTGAACTTTGCAAGAGATAAGACTCAACAGAAGAAAAGTTTCTTCGAAGAATACAAATATTTGTGAATGATAGGTTTAGCAAACTTGATGATGACAATGGTTTTTTGTGTTTTATAGTTTTTGTTACTTTCTTCATTTTTAAATTTGTTAAAGAACTTGACTTGAAACATAGATAGTTCTCAGTACACTGTTTTATAGCCCAAGCATAACTTGTTTATATTTGAATTATATTTTTATAAAGATAATAAATGTTTATATTTTGAATTATATTAATTATATATAGATAATAAGATAATGAACCAATAAAAAATTTTATATCTTTAGTTTAATAACAATGAAGCTCACTGAATTTGAATTATTTTAAATATTCATTGCTGAGGAAAATAAACAGCCAAAAAATAATTCTGCGAATATAACAGATTGTATACTGATAATTGCTAAGGCTCTTGGTTCCGATGAATTGACATTTGCACAAAAAACACTAGTTCAGAATAGTTGGTAAAGATCTGCATCTGAAAAAAAACAAACTTAAAAAAATGGGCTATGTTGGCATAACATTCAAGACTGGTAAGGAAACCTTGCTTGAAGAGTATATTAAACTATAGCTTATTTAATAAGTTTCCAATAGAAACAATGTCAATTTAAACAGTTTGTGCTCTTGGTAGGCATTCATATCCAAATAAAAAAAAAACTCTTTTAACTGCTGGTTTTAATATATTGCTTAGTTGGAAACATCTCATAAGAAAACAATCTGAAGTAACACCGATTATTATGAATTATTATGAACTTTATTCTGGTGTTTTCCCTCAGTCTATTAAACTGAGGATGCAATGGATATTGGAGAACATTTTTTTTAGATATAAACATTGGAAATATACTAATGAAAATAAAGTTCTGATTTTATGGTAGTGGAAGCCATGTAATATTTGGTTAAAGATATAATGTTATCACTAGCAATATCATACTGACAATATTGTCCATTTTCACTTGAAACAGAAGCAGGTTTGTTAATATGATTACAAAAGTTACAAAATGCCCCACTGCATCATAAAGTGCCCCCACTGAGTCACAAAGCGCTGAGTCTTCAAATGGGAAAAAAAATCAAGAGAAACTCTTCAATCATTGTCTCTGGAATATTCTGAAAAATTCTGAAATAGAATAGTTAAAAAAATAAAGGTTTCTTCATTTATAAATAGGAAAAACAATTTAATGTAAAGATAATAGTGCAGTCATATATGATGGGTATGAAAGCAGCGAATCTTTTTTCAGGAGTTGAAGGTGCATATTGTGATCTGTGCACATTCTCAAAAGACGTGTTTGAATTTTGAAAGAATTGAAAATGGTTTTGTAATCAATCAAGACACTATAAATGAATATAACGAATGAAATATTTAACTAACTTGAACAAGAAGACGTTTCTTTACTTAAAGCAACAATATCACAAGGGCCAGACAAACCATCAAACCAATTCTATCCTGTTATGTAAAGCCAATACAAGTAATTTTTATATATAATTAATATATTTAAAAGTTATTGATACTTTTATAAGTTCTTAATGCTTTACTGGGCACATTTGACCATTTCATGAAAACTGTTGTACATGTGAAAGCTGGTGTTTTTGATTGGTCTGAGTCCTTTTCAGTGCTTCAAATAGATTTCTGAAGCAAGCAGAATTTACTTGAGACTTCATTACAAGCAGAGATATTAAAAAAAAAGCAGTTATAAGGAGTTATCAGGGACTACAATTGGAAAAAGAGGAACAACAACAACAGGTTAGAAAACTATTGCACAAAAAATCAAACAGGGATTTAATTATTGCACAATTGCCTGTTTAATATCACGCAACATTTCAAAAGTTCAAATTGGTGCTCCTAAGTAATTCTTTGAGTATTTTCTTCAAAAAGAAAAATTTATGTTGATCAATATAAAAGCTATTGTACAGATTTTTATTCCTATCTATTTATTTCCAACTGTTACAAAACAAAATTTACCTGGACCATGGATCTATATAACACCATCACTTCACAAACTGATTGGTCATTTTTGGGAGCTAGTTTTGAATAATGAGGAAAGTGTTTTGGGAAATCTTTATGATTCAGGGTTAAAAGGTAATAATAAAATACTAAGATTGATACATATTAGACTCTCAAGTAAATATCTCCTTAATTGTCAATTTAACAGATACCATTAACTGAATGTGGATATAATCTGATAAAATTTTTTTTGACAGGAGATTTATGTTAAAACCATTCTGCAAATTTGGAATGTATAAGGACATATGATCTGATAAATATTGTCATTAACAAAATGTCTCTAATAACATTTTATTTGAAGACAACACATTTAGAAATGTTAACATGAATAAATTATGTATTTTAGTACTTCTTTTGATATTTTTTATTGTTTTTGCCATTGATGTACCTATGTTATCTTTGTATTACAAAATACTCATAAATATTTATAAACATTTATACATATTTTTGTTATAACCTACAAAGAAGCAAGTTTTATGAAATTTTTAATATTTTGTATTTTTAAATTATGACCTGAATACCCTGCAGTAAAATTATTTTTTAGCTTTTTCAAAATTCTTACATAAAACCTTTCCGAAAAGTCTTTAATCAACTCCGTAACACTTTCTGTTTAAAAATTATGAACCATTGTTTGTGAAAACAGCTGTTTTACCCACTGTGTGCCAGTTCAGGAGTTATATTATCAAAAAAGTTATTTAATGGTTGTAATAGCATAAATTTTGTAACAAGTCTAATGAATATAACCATTTTTTTCAACAACATGTTTTGATTATACAATAATCATTTTCAAGTATAAAGCTGTTAAATACAAAAACTATATATATAATGAAAAAAAACATTAGAAAAATAAAATAAATTGTTATATATATTAGACTTATTAAAAAAGTTATTATTAATAACAGTACCTACTTCTGCTCTTTTTCTTTCAGTGTTACTTGCAAATCTAACATTTAATTGTTTATTAAGGATTGATTTTACCCATTCAACACCCTGCATATTTTCTGTAAATTGCCTAATAAACATTCCTTTATGGTCTGCATAAGACTTTACAATACTGTGTAAATCATAACAGCCAACTGGGAATCCAAAAGAAGACAGTTTATAATATAGTTTTCAAAAATTTCTTCAATTTCATTAAATATTGTGTCACCACCTGGTTTTTTATCATGTATGTCTTTCAGTTTATTTCAGTCTTTATTGTTGATAAAGGAACTTTATAGCTTTTGCAAGCATTTTTGTTTTACCACTTCTTACTTCATTCAAACATTTGTTTCCTGAGTGTATGCAATATAACACGACACACAGCAACACGTTTATATGTTCTTGGCATGTTTTCTTTGATATAAATATAATTTTTATTAGTATTTTCTCCTAAAAATAAAAATTGAAAGTTAAATCAATAATATTATAACTATAGACAACATTTTCTGAAAAATAAATCAGAAGTATAATATTGAAAATCAAATACTTACATTTTTTCACTTAGGTTGAAGTCCCCCCAAGTTGTGGCCAAAGCCATCCCATAAATTTTACTTAAATTTATTTTTAATTAGAAGTATTATAAATTTGGCAACTATTATGCAATACTCATCCTATATAAATTTAGTATTAGTTATAACATCACAACCCACTCAAATATTAACCGCAGTTTCAACTGTAGCATATAAATTTAACAATTTTTATAAACTCTAATAAACAAAAAAATATATCATTAGAAACTACAATTAACCTTAGTAATAAATGGAATTACTTTACTTTTATGATGAACTTAAATTTGGAAGAAGTTGCAAAAGAACAGTTTTTAAAAGTTTAAACTATTTTTTTAGAAATTAGCCAGTCACCTCATTTTACAGTAATTTAAAACTTTTTTTTTTTCAAACTTGCAAAAAAATTATTTTTGTTTTATAGATAAATTTATTTCTTTAAGTTGAATATTACAATGAAATAATACAACATAAAAATAAATGTAAAAAGTATATAAAATATGAAAATAAAATATATATAATATGATAAATAGTTATTAATATATATAATAATATAAAATAAAAATTATTATTAAAATAAAAATTATTTTTATAATTATATAAAATAATTTTATATATAATAATAAAGTAAAAAAATAAATAGTATATATAAAAGTGTAAATAGAATTTAAAATAAAAAAAAGGAAACTTAACCTGCAACATCCTATCAAACATTTTTTTTTTGGCTTATAAGTCCAACATAAAAGCAAAAATTAGTACTTATTTTCTTTTTTGTTTATAAATTTTTAAATTTCTAAATAAATACTAAATAAAAACACAACTAATTTTTCTCTAACTTTCTCTACAAAAGTGTATTAAATAATTTTTTTTTCTTTTTTTTAGCCAAAAATGTTGTTTTGAGTACAAAAGTATTGAATCTCTTATAAATTACATTTGCTTTTGTGGTAAATAGGTATTGAATATTTTACAAAAATATTAAAAAAAATTTTTTTTTCTTTTTTTTAGCCCAAAATGTCGTTTTGAGTACAAAAGTATTGAATCTCTTATAAATTACATGTGTTTTTGTGGTAAAGAGGTATTGAACATTTTACATATAATAAAAATTTTATTGTTAGGATAATTCTATGTAAAAAAGGTTAGTCATTCCTCAGAATTTCTTCAAGTTTTAACCAGTGGTATCTAATCATTTTAAATATTATATTATTTTAAAATAGTCAATACAAATTTTCTGTTCTGTTATTATAGGTTGCACTTTCACTAACTCTAGACAAGACTAACACGACTAGATAGCAAATGCAGGGTGGTCACCTTGAAAACCTTGAAAACCTAGAAATGTCCTGGAATTTGATAGGTCCTGAAAATGTCATGGAAAAACACCCCTTTTACCAATAAATCCTGGAAATCCTTGAACTTTTTTCTCAAATAGTTAAATATTTTGTTTTACAGAAACATTATTAATATTGCGTAGATTTCTGCTGATTAATTATGCATTTTCTAAACTGCAAATAAATTTTTGTTAACTGTTACTGTCAGTATTATTAACATCTAGTAATTATTTAAAAAATACATTATCTAACTAATATAATGCCTAAGACAAAGAACTGTCATTTTCAAACAGGACGGCTATACAACAAAAAGTATTCTTCTTGGATAATATTTTGTATTTCAAACTCTAAAAAAGAAAGCTATAGTTGGTGCAGAATGGATAATAATGTTTCTAACATGGGAGTATCTGCTTTGGACTCTCATCCAGCTGGTAAAAACACATAATGCAGCAGATATATTTTTTACCAGTAGTTTGTTAGTTTTTTATTTTAATTTAAGTTTTTTTACTTTTATTTAAATATATGTTTTCCTGAATTTTGGAAAAATTGAAGCAAATTAATTGGTAGTGTTCTATCAGTAACTTACATAACAGTTCTCCTAATTTAAAAGAAAAATATAAACTATAAATGAGCACAGCCTACTATTGAGGATAATCAATCTCCAACTCTGGTTACCAAGGCAAAAATAATATGAAGCTTGAAGTGTCATGAGTGTTATCATAAAAAATAAACAAATGAATCCAAGTATATAAATACTGGAATTAACTAAATAAACAAATGGATTTCTGAATACTGGAATTTAGGTTCTGGTGTTGTAAAAGCTAGATATATTGATTCAAAACTCCTCAGATGCCCTAACTCACAAAATTTATTTGAAAAACTTATTAAATCGACAGATATATTTGATCCAGACAGCAATAATATATATTTATATAAATACATACATACATACATACATACATACATACATACATACATACATACATACATACATAAAAACATATATATATATATATATATATATATATATATATATATATATATATATATATATATATATATATATATATATATATATATATATATATATATATAATATAACACATACATAAATTAAGAGTTATTCAGTTTTAATAATTTTTTGACTATTTTGTTGCAGCTTCTGTGCTACTCGCTGGGTAGAAGATGAATCTGTGGCTTCTAAAGGAATCGTTGTATGGCCAAACATGATTAAAATTATAAAATCTTATGAATCAGTGTGCAAAAGCAGACGTCCCAAAAATAAGAGCTATGAAGCTCTTTTAGATCATTATCATAACAAGTTTGTACCTTTGTGAATGCAATTCTTTAAAAATCTTGCTAAAAAATTGAAAGAATTCTTAGTTCTATTTCAAACAGACAGACCTATGGTGGCATTTTTATTGTACAGATTAGAAAATATGTTACAAAATTTGATGAAATTAATTCTTAAACTAAATATTTTACAAGAAGTTACAACAGCATTTAGTTTAGCAAAGATGAAGTAGAGAAATCAAACAACCAACTAGAAGTAGACCAAGTTGACATAGGAACAGCACTGAAATGCTAAGTTCTTTTCATCGTTAACCAGAAGAGAAGTTAGAATTTAAGAAAGAATGTAGGCAAATTATCATGTTATTGCAAAATTTACAAGAAAGATCTCATTGAAGTATTCTTTAGGGAGAAATGCTTCATTTTTGTCTCCAAATGCAATGGTTTAAAACAAGGAAGTATCCACCAAGGAAGTATCCACAAGTATAAATTCAAGGGTCTTGCTGAGAGATTAAGTGCATTAAAATGGCTTTCAACTGATGATGCAGATGATGTAAAACAGCAGTTTTTTGAAATTTTTTGGTACAGAATGTGTTTGATTTATAATCTTTGAAAATAAATAAATAAATTTGAGTCCTTTAATGAATTTACTGATTTTGTTAATAAATTTCTTGGTTTCTATTTTCACAATACTCAAAAGTATTCAGAATTGCGGGAAGTCTGTGCTAGCATTTTTGTTTTATCTCATGACCAATAGGCAATAGAATGAGGATTTAGTGTTAACAACCAGTTGTTACTAGATCTACAAGAAAGATCTCTTGTTTCCCAAAGAATAGTTTATGACCACATCAATTCCCATGACATTGATCTAAGTGATCTTTTAAAAAGCTGAAGGTTAACATAAAATAGGTACAATTCAGTGTTGAAGGAAAATAAGGATCAGTTAAAGGTAGACAAAGTAAGCAAGAAACTTAAATTGATTGATGAAGAATTTGTAATTATAAAGAAACAGAAAGAAAATTTTGCAAAGTGCATCAAAGTTATTAAAACTGATGCTGACAAGTTAAGCATTAAAGCAGAAGAAAAGTGAAACTTCATTTCACATATATATCTGAATTTGCTTACCCTTATTGTGAAATAAAAGATGTAAGATAATCTTAATACTATCAATTGTTTAGGTTTAAAAATAGCCTGAAAATATATATGGCTCTTTATAAGTTTGCAAACTTCTACTCAATATTTTTGAAAATTTTACATGGAAATATAATTTAAATTACAATACATTGGAAATATAGTTTTTATTTAAAAATCTATTCTACATAGCATATTTCTATATAGCATATTTCTACATATCATAGTGCTACATAGCATATTTCTACATAGCATAGTTCTACATAGCATAGTTCTACATAGCATAGTTCTACATAGCATAGTTCTACATAGCATAGTTCTACATAGCATAGTTCTACATAGCATAGTTCTACATAGCATAGTTCTACATAGCATAGTTCTACATAGCATAGTTCTTCATAGCATAGTTTAATTATCAAAATATTTTACAAATTTTAGTAGCTAGTTTCATTTCATTGAAAATCTCAAATGATGTGTTAAAGAGAAATTGAAATACAATTTTTTAAAAAGAGTACAAAATCTGCTTAACATAAATAAAAAACAGGTTAAAAAGGATTTTAATAAGCAAATATTATGCAATTATTGAACTTTTTTTTCATAAAAATAACCAGAAAATAACATTTATTCTAGATACGCACCAATTATCATCCTATTTTGTCCAAAAGTCTAACCAACTTGAATAATGTAGATGCATAATCTTCACCATAAAATTATCATTCATTTCATTATTTTCAGAATCTATATCAAGCCAGTAAAGTTTGTTGTATTTCCAAAATAGAAATTTTAATATCATAACATAGTGGATCTGAATAGTCTCATATTTTTGTTTATTGGGAAATCAAATGAGCAAATATATTCCATTCCCATTCAACATAGTTAAGGCAAGTTAGTAAAACTTAAATCAAAATTTATAAAAAAATCTCATCTTAGATAATCTATAACTTTAAATGAAATGAAATTAATATAAATTTATTTTTGTTTAATAAAACCTCTTCTGCTTCTACTTAAAAAAAATTTCTTAGAGATTTTTTTTTTTGTTACATTATTTAAATTAATAAAGTGTCTTTTTGAACTTCTTTAGAGTTTTGCTCAGTCAGTTTACTTCAAATTGTTTTAAATAAAATTTAAAAACGTCATTTTTTATTGGTCATGATTTTAGATCAAAAGAGCGAGAACTTTTTTTAGGAAAGTTATTAAATTTAGAAATGTTTGTTTTACTAAAAGTTATAAGGTTCTCCACGTATTAAGTAAAAATAAACAAAAAATATATATACTGGTAGTAATAGCCTTTTTCTATTTCCTTAAGGAATATTCTATTGTCTAAATGTCTTTTCAATAATTATAATAATTCTAGTACCAAGCAAAGTCTTCACTTATTCAAGAACACCATTTAAGAACTTGAGATTTCAACAGTCTAGAATTTAAAGCTTAAGTTAAAATACATAATATACCGCAATTATATTATATAAAATAAAATCTTGGTAGGCATATCACATTTTAAATAAATTTATATAGATTGATTGCAGTTTTTCCTTTTAACAATCTAATCGTTTATCTTCAGACCAGATATTTTATGGAAGTTTCTTGATTTTTTAAACTTATAAGCCACTGATGGCAATTTCTTGAAAAGCACCTTAACTGCTATGATCGTCAGATACTCATTTCTTCTTTATGGTCTCGTATAATAATTAATAATGAGAAAATAATTAATAATGAATAAATTAATCAAAACTTCTTATCCTATTAAAAGTCATTGAATAGATCATCTATCAACAGTTTGTTTTATACTAGCTTTATTTCTTCAGCAGTAATTATTGTTAACATGATTGACATTTGACAGTATTTATACATTGCTTCAGTAGGCAGTATTTGGCCTGAAGTTAAACTCTACCAGCTAGTAACAGTAGTAATAGCAGTACATTTTTGCAGCATCACCTTTTCAATCACAAGAGAAATTTTCCATTGCTTGTTACAAAGAAATTATTGATGCAAGGAACAGAAGAATCTTCATCAAGGTGACATAAGTTGTAAATATGTTTGCAGTTTTTATATTATCCTGTGCAGTCATCAAAAAAATAGTAAATATTTGTAATTGTAAGCCAAAGAATAGTTTTTATGTGATGATTTTGTTGATAGTTTTTAGATAAGGGAACATTTTTATCCAATAGTCTTAACTCACTAGACTTCTTGTTGTTATGTAGTACAACTACAAAAGTATATTTCTCTGCAAAATCAGTTAGAACAAATGCCTTACCAAAACTAATTGTTTTATTGAAATACTTTAGTTGTTATTTCATGGTCTAGGTACCTTATATGCTTAGAGCAGCAT